TAGTATATGATTTCAGGGGTGAAGATGACTTAAGATTTAGAGGTGAATAGGTTAAGAACTATTCTGCAACAGTGTCATACAGCTCATTCACAGAGACATGACATCACCCCAAATGAAAAAGGTACTGGGAGAAGAGGAGTGCAAAGAAAGAGATAATGAATGTCATTCTTGGCACTCACGCTGTCTGCAAATGTGTGAGAAGAGGCTGGGAGACAGGGATTAACTATGAAGGAGAGGATATATATAATGGCAATAATGTGATGTATCTGGACAGCAAGTGCCTTGGAGAAAATCATTTTATTTTATTTTGCAAGTTGAAAAGTAATGGCTTTCAGTAGAAAACCCTGTGGTTATGTGGGAAGCAAAAACAAGCAGCCCCCACCTGAAAGACAGAAAGACAGTTTACTAAGGGGAGAGGCAGGCTTCCACTAGGACGAAGTGGACAAAGGATGCACTGCCTGGCATGCTCACAGCAGAGTATAGCTCCAGAATATACTGTGGAATAAAGTCAGCAGGGGAGGCCAAGTGGCAGGAGAAGGCACACAGTAGCATCTCCTCACAGGAAGCAATGCCTCTTCCTAATCCTAGGTACAAACACAAGGTGAATGGCTCTCTTCCTGAAAAGGCATACAGAAAGAAGAGTCTGAGCAAATGGAGACAAGGCTGTTAAGTACAATGTAAAGCAGGTCTCCTTGCAACCTTTAACTGGAGATGTCCAACATGCAGTTGGGCATATATATCTAATGCTCAGGAGAAAAATCCCAAGAATTTTATGGACCTGCACACTTGAAAGTAATGTAAGTTGTAAATATTTTCGTTAAAAAAAGTCTCAGTTCCAATTTTTAAAAATTCCTCCCTTTAGATCAATTTAATAAAAAAAACCAATGAGGGGATTCAAATTGAGCTTCTCACCACCAATGGTTGCAATTACGAGAGATACGTAAAAATTAAAGGCAACACAGGACTTAGTGGGGAGGAAGGAAGGTGGCTGTGGTCACACAAAGGTAGCAGGGGGGACCTCGTGATGGAACTGTTTCACTGGTTAATATCTGAACTATGGTGGAGATCACATGAATCTACACATGTGATAAAATTACAGAGAACTAAACACATGCACAAATGAGTGCATGTAAAACTGGATGTATTATATCAATGTCAATATCCTGGTTGTGCTATTTTACTATAGTTATGCAAAATATTACCACAGGGGGAAACTGGATGAGGGTATACAGGATCTCTGAGTATTCTTACAACTGAATGAACATCTACAATTATCAAAATAAAAAGGTTTACTTTTTAAGTAAAAGCAACACAGCAGGTGTACAACTGAAAAATACTGTCTTTAAAACTCATACTAAACACAAGAGAATCAGTCTCCAGCTCTGTAATTCTCAACCAGAAAGTTGCAGAGGGTAAAGGGGTACCTAAGTGTCAGAATTACTGCCTTTACCCCCATTCCCTGAATATACACTCACACAAGAACAGTTGCCACAGTGAGCCACAGGTTCTGGAGGAAATCTGTCACAACTTCAAGTATGCTGCAACTGAAGAAGAGTGGAAAACCACACTCTTACAGCTATGTTACAAACACATCTAACTGGAGAGGAAAAAGACATGTAAGAGAAAGATAATATATAATAAGTAAATTTATAATAAACATGAAATTACTTCTCATTTGATTTGTACAAATCAGCCAATACATTCTTCATGTAAATGTACTTGGTGAATGAATATAAATATTCTGTGCATATAAAAGTAAACATATGTACTTTTCCTCCAGTATTTGATTGATTTTCAGTTTATATCCATGACTACCAACAAGGAATAGATCACCTAAGCTTACGAGCCCTCCATCAGAAGGACAACAACAAATTTAAAAACAAGCAAACAAAAAAACCCCAGAATGGCCAGAATTGAACCGTATGGAAGTCCAACAACCACAGATTTAAAGAAGAAACATTCATTCAGGCTGGTAGCAGGGGCAGAGACGGGCAGCTGGAGCACAGAGGTCAACCGGCAAGGCAGAGGCTACATGACCGGGTGTGTGAGGAGGTAGAGGCCTGCAAACTGGGCGGTCCCACATCAAGTGTCGATAAACTGGAAAGAACAGCTGGGGAGCAAGACAGACGGCGCAACCCAGCATTCCAGTATGTGGAAATAAAGACTCAAACATCTGCCAGTAAAAACCTGTGGGAATTGTACTGGCAGGAGAAACTCACAGCCTCACAGGAGAGTTCATTAGAGAGACCCACAGTGTCCTACAGCATACACAAAACCACACACCCAGGAACTGGCACTAGAAGGGGCCGATTTGCTTGTGGGTATTAAGGGAAGTGACTGAAAACAAGCCCAGAGCAGAGCAAGACTCCTCCCCACAATGCAGCGAAATGGGTTGACCCAACCTGGCAAATACCTAAGGCTCTGTCACTTACTAAGTAACAGGCATGCAGAGACAAAAAATATGGCCCAAATGAAAGAACAGACCAAAGCTCCAAAACCAGAACTAAGTAATCGAGAGATAGCCAACCTATCAGATGCACAGTTCAAAGCACTGGTAACCAAGGATGCTCACTGAAATGGTTGAGTATGGTCACAAACTAGAAGAAAAAGTGAAGGCTATGCAAAGTGAAATGAAGAAAAATATACAGGGAACCAACAGTGAAGGGAAGGAAACTGGGACTCAAATCAACAATTTGGAGCAGAAGGAAGAAGTAAACATTCAACCAGAACATAATGAAGAAATAAGAATTCAGAAAAAGGAGAGGCTTAGGAACCTCTGGGACAACTTTAAATGTTCCAACATCCAAATCATAGGGATGCCAGAAGAAGAGCAAGAGCAAGAAACTGAAAACTTATTCAAACAAATAATGAAGGAAAACTTCCTCAATCTGGTGATGGAAATAAACTTCCAGGAAGTCCAGGGAGTTCAGAGAGTCCCAAAGAAGCTGGACCCAAGGAGGAACACACCAAGGCGTGTTCCCAGTTTATATCCATGCCTACATGCTGCATCACAATTATATTACCCAAGATTAAAGATAAGTAGAAAATCTTAAAAGCAGCAAGAGAAAAGGAGAGAGTTACCCACAAAGGAGTTCCCATAACACTATCAGCTGATTTCTCAAAAGAAACTTTGCAGGCAAGAAGGGGCTGGAAAGAAGCATTTAAAGTCATGAAAGGCAAGGACCTACATTTGCGATTACTCTCTCTAGCAAAGCTATTATTTAGAATGAAAGGGCAGATAAAGTGCTTCCCACATAAGGCCAAGTTAAAGGAGTTCATCATTACTAAGCCATTATTCTATGAAATGTTAAAGGGACTCATCTAAGAAATAGAAGAAAATAAAAAAATGTGAACAGTAAAATGATAACAAACTCACAGCTATCAACAAATGAACCTAAAAATCAAAACTAAAAACAAACTAAGCAAACAACTAGAATACGAACTGAATGACAGAAATGGAGATCACATGGAGGGTTATCAGCAGGGAGGGGGAGAGGCAAGAATGGGGGAAAAGGTACAGAGAATAAGAAGCATAAATGGTAGGCACAAAATAGATAGGGGGAAGTCAGGAATAGTATAGGAAATGGAGAAGCCAACTAACTTATATGCATGACCTATGGATAGGATCTAAAGGGGGGAATGTTGGAGGGAGGCGGGGATGCAGGGCAGAAAGGGAAGAAGGGGAGAAAAAATGGAACAACTGTAATAGCATAATCAATAAAATATACTTTAAAAAAAGGAATACATCATCTATAAAGGTATACAATATAGCCTTGAATAAAGTGAGTCTATTTAGCCTATACAGGAAGCCTTGGCACACTAATACCAAATCCTCATCAACTAGAGAAAGGAACGACAACACAAACAAGCTGAAACCAAAATGCAACAGATTCAATATTTTTTTTTAAATGTCCCTACTAAAAAGTAGCCCTAAAAGAGAATACTTAAGTTGAGCCCACTAAAATCAAACATGGGGAAACATTTTGGAGTGGTAAGACAACTAATTTAATATCTGAACAAGTGATATCAATCAGAACAAAAAATAAAATTACTTAATAATGAACAGATATCGAAAACCTTGGTATTACAACTGGTCACAAAATTGTGGGTGTTGGTGTGTGTATATATATCAGAATCTAAACAATGACCCACGGGGACTCTTATGTGAAAAGAACGGCATTATCAAAAGGCACTAGCAGAGCCACTGAAAAAACTGTTTATGGTACGAAAATGGTTAAGTAGAAAAACAGCTATAATTAAGAAAATATGTGTATACATTTTGACAGAAAATATCAAAAGAATATAAACCCAAAAGATTTTGTTTTTAGATTGTGGGGTTTAAACAGTTCTGTGTTTAAAATAGTCCTGGTTGGTGTGGCTCAGAGGATTGGGGGCCAGCCTGCAAACCAAAGGGTCGCTGGTTCAATTCCAATCAGTGCACATGCCTGCGCTGTGGGCCAGGACCCCAGTAGGGGGTGTGTGAGAAGCAACCACACATTGATGTTTCTTTTCCTCTCTTCCACCCTCTCTTTCCCTCTGTCTAAAAATAAATAAATATTTTTTTAAAATCCTGATGAATTAAAAAAAGAAAGAAAGAAAAAATATCAAATAATGGTGGCTGTGTGAATTGAAATCATTTTGGGCAATTTTTTTCCTTCTAGTATTCTATGCTCTGAATGTGTATTGTGTTGATATAAAAAATTACTACTAATGCCCTGGCTGGCATAGCTCAGTGGATTGAGCGCGGGCTGCGAACCAAAGCATCACAGGTTCGATTCCCAGTCAGGGCACATGCCTGGGGTACAGGCCACGGCCCCCAGCAACCATACATTGATATCTCTCTCTCTCCCCCCGCTTCCCTCTCTAAAAATAAGTAAGTAATCTTTAAAAAAAATTACTACTGTACTTATCAACCCTGACCCCAAACTTTTTTCACTGTATCCTGCCTCCTGAAACAAACCAACAAATATAAATACGCACACAAACCCACAGGTACTTACATGGGCTTACATCTCTGTATCTGTTTCGATTTCTGTTTTCTGGAAACTTGGCCACTCTATGAGGATAGTCATGGGACTCACTGCGAATTTCCTTAAAACAACAAAAATATATTTTAATATTCTTCTTAAATTTTATATAGCAAAACAGGTACTTTCCTAACCAGTATAAAATAACATTTATGGAGCACTTATAATATGTCAAGTACTATGCAAAGCACACTATCTACATTATCTCATTCAATTCTCACAATACCAATGGGAACGATTATGTTCTCTACTTTATATGTGAAAGATGATAGTCAAACGACCTGCTTAAAGGTCACAAAGCTATTAAGTGGCAGACCCCAGGACTGAACCAAGGTCCTTCAGGCACCAAAGTCTTTGCTCTTGATATATTTATTTAATGTCACACTATATTCAACCTTTACAAGGCAACATTAAATACTTCATGTCATGTAGAATTAATGCAATGGAGGTATCTAAGATTATATCATACCCAAATTTCTGACTAAACTCTCAGTAATATCTATCTGTATTTCAGTTTCTACCTTAAAATGTTAATCTACTTATTCATCTTCATGACATGTAACTTTTACTTGGAGTCCAGAAATATCTTCAAATTTTATTTCTAGAGCCATAAATGCTTAGCAACAACCACTAGGCCTAAGGCTCATTTTATGACACTTATCATTTGCTGTATTCCATTATAAGAGAAATTCTGTGAGGTTATGCCTGAATTAGGTACTCTGCTACTTGTTTACAACATCAGCAGTTTTTTTCTCTCATATTAAATATAATTCTAAGCCTGGCTGTTATAGCTCAGTGGATTCAGCGAGGGCTGCGAACCAAAGGGTCTCTGGTTCTATTCCCAGTCAGGGCACATGCCTGGGTTGTAGGCCAGGTCCCCACTGGGGGCCACTTGAGAGGCAACAACACATTGATGTTTCTCACCCTCTCTTTCTCCCTCCCTTCTCCTCTGTCTAAAAAATAAATAAATGAAATCTTTAAAAAAAAGAAATATAATTCTAAGAATTCAGGTAAAAACAGAAACGTACCCAAAAATTGTGCATTAACAGCAAAAATTTGGACTTTTGCTCACACTACCACATGTGAGAAAAAGCACTTTAAAGGTTAGGCGCCAGATAGTTCTACAAATTAAGTATAAATAAGTCATGCCAGTCATTTATTGACGAACATTCTTACTGTGGGTTCCCTACCCTGTTGCCTGCCACCACCCCATCAGCCCTAGAACAGTTAGCTTTTTAGTTCATGTTTTTACTCATTCATTCAGCCTTTGAAAATACAAGAGAAGGGGACACAGACCCCTCTCAGCAGGAGGAATCTCAGTCACGTTACGCAAAGAGCACATGAGATCCAAGATATGTTGGTATGACCATTTGGGAAAATGCAACCTGCCACACAGAAAAACAGAAATACACACTACACATACACATTATAATTGGGTTTTTTTTTTTTTTGCTGACTTTTTAATACTACTGTCACATCTAGCAATCCTGCTGAGCTCTCTAGTATTTTGTAGTTGGTTCTGAATTTCTCAGTATCAGCAGTGATAATTCTCTTTTTTCCTTATAATTCATGTGTCATATTTACTCATGCCTTGTTTCTTTTTCTAATCTAATTACATTGGCTAGGACCTCCTATTCATAGTCAAATAAATATTTTTAGCCCTGATTTTGAATGAACTGCTTCTAAAGTGTAACCACAAAATGTAACATTGCTTTAGGTTTTTGGTGAATACTCTTTTCAGGTTAAGAAGTCTCTTTTCAATTTTTAGTTTGCTAAAAATTTTTGTTTTAATCATGAATAAGTACTAAATTTTATTCAGTGTTTTCCCTGCATTCACAGAGATGATCCTATAACTTTTCTCCTTTAATCTGGTAATGTGTTGAATTACAATAATAGATTTTCACTTAATAAAATGTATTTAAGGTTCTTCAATGTCTTCTCATGGTTTAAAAGCTCCTGTCTTTTTAGTGGGGAATAGCATTCTAGAAAAAAAAGAGAATAACATTACATTATCTGGGTGTACCACCATTATAAAAACTTGTATATATCTGTGTTTTTATGTTGAAATGACTAATAATTTTCTTTTCTAATGATTTATTCAGTTTTAGTATCAAAGTTATACCAGCCTCACATAAGTTAGTCATCAATATTACATTTCAGTTTCAAATACTTTTCCATGAAAGTACATTATAACAAATTATTGTGGCTGATTGAAAAGCAAAAAAATCTTCAACCATTTCCACAGATTAATTATAAATGTTTTAAAATGTTAAATAATAAATTTCCTATGTAAAATTAAACACATTCAAATATAGGCTTATATTTGTTTGCATTACCTGAAACACTCTATGAAGAGTAAAAACTCTACAAAGTGATGTAACAGATAATTTTATATTGTAAGTTAGTAACTGATAAAAAGGGAAAATATTAATTTTAAATAATACTAAAACATAATTCTTCTGTTGACAGCTCCTCTGTATTAAGTGCAGAGAAAACAGATTGGCAAGAATAAAAAATTCTGATTGATACTATGCTGGTGAGAGAGAGTGAAAAACAGTCTCATACATTATTGGCAGAATATATACCAATATGGTTTTTAAGAACAATTTGATAAGATCATAAATTTGACCCACTAATTTCACTGTCAGAAATTTATATCACATATAGTCACATACATGTGTGCAAATAATTATGCACAAGGATATTCACTCTACATAATTTTGAAAAACTAACAACCTAAATGTCCTTGAGGAATGAAGTAGTGATGTAAATTATAATGTACCAATGCACTGGAATATTGTACATGTGAACCATGAAAATACACTGTTACAGAACAATCTCAAAGATATACTATGTAGTGGAAAAAATGTAGAAAGAATATGTTAAGCATGCTCTCATGGGTGGGAGGAACTCTACTCAAACACAAATATGCCTGAGAATACAATGAGTAATTCTAGAAAGAGATAAGAAATCAGTAATTTCTGGGGAGGAATACTGTGGACCAGGACATCTGGGGAAGTTGAGAGATTTATGTAACTACAAGTGTTTTAATTGTGAAATATTACAAACAGGAAAATATAGATAATATGACAACCATGTTACCTATAGTGAAATTAAACATGATTAGCATTTTTGACATATCTGAATAAAACATCAGATACAGCTAAAGGCTTTACCTTACTCCTCTCTCTCTTTCCAAAGTAAACTTCTGTCCTTTTAACTTCTTTTTATTAGAGACCTTTTGTGCCATTTGAATTTTAAACCACATATTCATTCATGTATTTTTTAGTTCATATGCTATTTTAAAATAAACTAGCTAAAATACTAATAAATATTAATATATATCATGCCTATAGTGTTTAAATCACATCAAAAAGTTGTTGCAACCCATGGAATAGTAGAAAATAGTTGCAAATCGAATACCTGATGAAAGATTAATATCCAGAATATATAATTTTTTAAGTTAAAAAGTTAACAATGGGCAAAGAAGATAGAACTCTATTATACCAGCTCTTCTTCAATACTTCTAATGTATATACACCTATTTTCCACAGTTAAGTCTTATTTGTCAGTAGACTCCAATTTTTAGCCTAAAGAACACACTTATTTGTGTATACTATAATAAATCATAATTGATATTGCAAAAAAACAACATAAAGTAGATATGTTTCAAGTATAGGGGTAGAGAAGAGATTTTAATTTATAAATCACCTTAAAACAGCCAAGTACTTTGGGTTAAGATATACATTTTGTTTTCTCAATTATCAAAAACAAAAACAAAAACTCTTACAGAGTCCATTCTCTCAAATCTCCAATGTTACGATTTGTTCTTATTTTAGTGCATCTAGGAAGACAAGAACCCCCAACACTTTAAAAAGTGGCTCCCAAGGTACATATTATTAGTTGCCCATTCCAATATCCATTCTTTCTAACTAAAGGTTTTTGGTTTTATTTTCTGACTTAAAATAAGCCTGACTAAAAAACTTGTATTGCCCAGCCTCCAGGAGAAATAAGAATGGTCATGCAACACAGTTCTAGTCAATGGGAATGAGAAGGAATTTCTGGATTTGGTTGCAAGAAAACTTTTATAGAAAGGACTGGCTCAGCTGATCCGTGTCATTCTCACTTCTGCCTGCCTGCAGTACAGGTTTTGATGTGGAGGGATGAGAGGTAGGAATAGGCAGAAACCATCCTGTGACCACAAGATAAGAAGCATATTCTAAGGAAGGCTAAGTAGAAACAGAGGAAAACTGGTAATCAATGACATCACAAGCCACAGAAACAGCTCTGGTCTCCTACCTTCAGAATTTTCATTACATGAGAAAAATAAGCCCCTCTTTGTTATGTCAGATATTAAGCTTGATTTTCTTTCCCATGAAGCTAGATGCAAGTCTGTAAATAACACACACAATATAACCAAATCACAACAAAAAATAGATCTGACACTGATAAAGCATTCAGGACTAACCAACACATAAAAATAAATAATTTTATAAGAACTTCTCGTAAGCAATAAAATACACAGTGTTTCTCAAATGGTAATGGGAAGGCAAGCATTGAGCTATTCACTAGGTCTATCACATTAGGCAAAATCAGCTTCTACTGAAGTTCTGATCCTAAAACACTCCCTTACTATATAGCAGAGAGGACCCAGTCTACAGTGGTATTCAACATTTAGATGAAAAATGTTTCCTATCAGCAGTAAAACCTGATGATCCAAGGTTTCTCAACCTTAGCATTACGGATATTTCAGGCTGGATAATTCTTAATTGGGGGGTTATCCTGTGCATTACAGAATGTTTAGGAGTAGCACCCCTGGCCTCTATCATTAGGCATCAGTAGCACCCTACCTCCCAGCTATGACCAAGAAAAGTCTCTTCAGGAATTTCGAACTGTCCCTGGACAGCAACATTTACTACAAATATAACCCACCAACACCCAGTTGAGCAATACTATTCTAATCTAATGCTAACTCTTTTAATGAAAGCTAAATTGAAGAGAAGTTATCTTTATCTTAAAGAATAATTTAACCAAATTTTAAAAATTTTATTTTTATATGATTTT